CAGTTGCAGCAAAATGTCACCAAGTTGTGCTCATGAAAAAAGCAGTGGCTTCGTAGTCAGAGGGGTTCCGTGGTGAGGCTGTGCCTGCCCTGTCTCATCACCTTGACACCTCGCCAGTATCTCCACTCAGAAGTGTTTCAGTGACATGAATCTCACGCCTGCACTGGGCCCTGCTAGACTCAGCGGCCCAAATAAAGTAGGCTGGATCTTATTCATCGTGTATGATTTCTGGGGTCTCCGCCTTGTTCCTCGTTTTCGGCACACATTCTACCATTCCAGGATTAACCCAGTACATGACCACGTATTCTTTCTTTTAACCTCCCATCTGGTCACTGGGCATGCAGATGTTTTCCCTACGGTGGTCCACAGTAGAGACCATCAAATTTTTTTCTGTAAAGGGCTGGATAATAAGTATTTTGGGGTCAGGTGCAGTGGTTCACTCCCATAATCCCAGCACTTTGGGAGGCCAAGGCAAGAGGATCACTCGAGCCCAGGAATTCCAGACCAGACTGGGCAACATAGCAAGACCCCCATCTCCACAAAATAAATTCATGAACAAACAAACATTTTGTGTTTTTGAGGCATCTCTGATGCAACGACTCAACTCATAGCTCAAAAGCAGCCATTGTGGCTGGGCTGCTAATAAAACTTTATGGACACAGAATTTGAGTTTCACATATTTTTCACATGACACGAAACGTTGCTCTTTTGGTTTTATTCAGCCCTGTGAGGATGTAAAAACTGTGTCTGGGGCTGAGCGTGGCAGCTCACACTTGTAATCCCAACACTTTGAGAAGCTGAGGCAGGAAGGAGAATTGCTTGAGCCCAGGAGTTCGAGATTAGCCTGGGCAACATAATGAGACCTTGTCTCTATTTAAAAAAAAATTTTAACTAAAAAAAACTGTGTTTAGACCAGGCACCATACAAAAGCAAGTAGCAGCTACATTTAGCCCATAGTCCACAGTTTGGGACGACTTTGATAATTCTCACTAATGCACAGAAAATGGTCCCCCAAGCAGCCAGTAATCCACAAATCACTTCTATTTGGCCCTGGAATTTGCTCTGTAATTTTTTAAAACAGCATGCTTATTTTCCTGGTTACCTTGATTCTAGTCCACTAATAAAATTAGCACACATTCCAGGTGAGCAGAGACGAAGAGGCCACTTTAAAATTAGGCCGGGCTGTGGGGGGCTTATGTGGTGATTGCAAACCCCTGATGGAAGAGGGGAGTTCTCACACGGATAATGGCAGACGTACTGTAGAAACATCAAGCATTTTTATTATGCTCTTCCCAGAAGATTTAAATGGTAGCAATGCTCATCATGCATTCCTTCTGCATTTACACATTGGCACTTTTTCTTTTTTAATCAGAAAACTGATTGCTGATTTATCTTGTTGCCATGGTGATCTAAACATTTTTTTCCCCTGAGCTTAAAAATGCATGACTTAGTACTTTATTAACTTCCTCAGAGATCATCAAGCAGATAAAATCTTAGGATCAAAGAGGGTTTAGACACCGTCTAATCCAAGACCCTCAATGAGTAGGTGAGGAGGAAACAGGCCCACAAGAGTCAAGCATTTTAGAACCTAAATGTCTGTCATCCAGTGTCTGTCTCAAGGTCATTTGTTATCAGCAAGTAAATAAGACTTGCCCAGACAGGTCTCCTGACGGCAGTGACATGGTCTTTATGTCCAACTCTGGGGTGCTCGTCCCAAGGTCACCTGCCAGAGTGGCGGCTTTCATGACCCTAGAAACGTCGCTTCATTCTGCATCTTGGGTCTGCCCAACACTGTGCTTCTCAGAACCGTCTCTGGATCCTCTATGTCTTCCATAGGCATCGGAAGGGGCCAGAAGGGAATTTCCTGCACACATCCCAAAAAGCCAGAGTGCCAGACCCATTCTCAAACTTCTGAGAATGATCCCTAGGGGTGCCTGCAGGTACTCAGAGGTGGGTTTCTTAAAGGGTTTTTTTTCTAGAAGCTGGATTGTCAGCATGGGGTAGCATCTTCATCAAGTCTACACATTTCAGGATGGACATTGGGAACCTTGCAAAATGGTCCCATCTACTGAAAGTTCTGTAAGACTAAAATATTGCTGTGGTGAATTAAAATCACTGCTTAGGCTGGGTACAAATTGCTGTATGCCTGTAATTCCAGCACTTTGGGAAACCAAAGAGGGAGGAATGCTTGATCTCAGGAGTTTGAAACCAGTCTGAGCAACATAGTGAGAACTTGTCTAAATAAATAAATAGATAGATACAAAGATAAATTTATTTATTTATTTATTCTTGAGTTGGAGTCTCACTCTATCACCCAGGCTGGAGTGTAGTGGTACGCTCACGACCACCATATCCTCAACCTGCTGGGCTCGGGTGATCCTTCTGCCTCAGCCTTCCAAGTAGCTGGAACTACAGGCACGCGTTACCACGCCCAGCTAATTTTTTGATTTATTGTAGAGATGAGGTCTCACCAAGTTGCCCAGGCTTGTGTTGAATCCCTGGACTCAAGCAATCCTGTCACCTCTGCCTCCCAAAGTGCTGGGATTATAGACTTGAGCCACCTATTTGCGCCCGGCAAATAAACAAACATTTTAAAAGATCACTGCTTAAGGACAAGTGAATAATCCTTTGCACAAACTATAGCCACAGAGGTAATCGTACATCACACAACCCTGCAAATTGCTACGCTCCTCTTACAGATGAAGAAACCATAGCTCAGAGAAGTTAAGGAACTTACTCCAAATCACCCAGCTGGTAAACTTCAGAGCTGTTTGACTCCTGATCTTTCTGGCTTCAAAGTTTATGTTGTTTCCATAGGCTACTGGTGCTTAAAGAGAACTGTTGGCATTCCAGAAACACATACGCCCACTCTTTGATCAGTCCTGTGAGCTGCGCATCTGGAATTTATACAGCTTAACACATTTCCATGGCAAACCAGGTCACTCAAGGAAGTAGCTAACTTCTGTTGAGTACTGTGCCACTCTAAGCATATTATTTGCGTTAGCTCATTTAACTAGATACTTTTATTTTCTCCAGTTTTTGGAGGCAGAAGGAAGGCAGGTAACTTGTCTGAGGTCACACCACTGGTACAGGGCAGAAGCAGCTCCAGAGCCTGCAGACTTATCCAGGCGACTTCTAGATTCAATACACAAAGCAGGGCTTACCCACCCCAACACTATTGACGTTCGGATCTGGATCCTTCTTCGTTGTGGGGTCTGGCCTGGGCATTGTAGGGTACTTAGCAGCTTCCCTGGCCTCTACCCACTAGATGCCAGTTGTACAACCCTCCCTCCCCCAGGGTATGGCAACCAAAGTGTCTCCAGATATTGTCAGCTGTCCCCTGGGAGGCAAAACCACCCTTATTTGAAAATTGCATGAAGTATGAAACTATACATTGGCCAGGTGTGGTGGCTCATGTCTATAATCCCAGTACTTTGAGAGGCGGAGGCAAGAGGATTGCCTGAGCCCATGAGTTTGAGACCCTAGCCTGGGCAACTTGGCAAGACCTTGTCTCTATAATAAATTAAAAAACTATCTGGGTGTGGTAGTGCGTGCCTGTCGTTCTTGCTACTTGGAAGGCTAAGATGGATGAATCTCCTAGACCAGCAGCCCAGCAGATCTAGGCTGTGGTGCTGTGAACGTACCACTGCACTCCAGCCTGGGTGACAGACTGAGACTCCAACTCAAAAAAAAAGAAAAGAAAAATAAACTATAAGCTTCCTTAAAGTTGATGGTGATCAGCATCCTTACTAGTTGTAGACTGATACTCAACCCTAGTAATTATGTTTTTAAAAATTTATACACAGCTGGGTGTGGTGGCTCACACCTGTAATCTCAGCACTTTTGATAAATACTCAGTCCTAGTAATTATGTTTTTAAAAATTTATACACAGTCAATTGTGGTACCTCTCACTGGATAACTTGAGCCCAAAAGTTTGAGACCAGCCAGGGCAATATGGTGAGACCTCGTCTCTACAAAAAAATCAAAAAATTAGCTGGACATGGTGGCATGCACCTGTAGTCCCAGCTACTCGGGAAGCTGAAGTGGAAGGATCGCCTGAGAACAGGAGGTTGAGGCTGTGGTGAGCCATGATTGTGCCACTGCACTCTGCCTGGGTGACAGAGTGAGATCCCTACTCAAAACAAGACAAAACAAAACAAAATGTGTATGTGCTTATTAAAATAATTTAAAACAAGAACATGGCATTTTAAAATAATTTAAACCAAGAACATTTCATTTAAATGGAATAAGAATGTGAAGAAAACCAATATCCCTAATGGATTGGTATGATTTGTGTCATACATTCCCAATGGGGGGAAAAATATGATGAAGCATAGGAGTTTTTGTTTTGGGGTGTATGTGTGTGTATCTTAATAAGTTTTCCTTTTCTTTTTTTAACTTTTAATTTTTTTACCTTAAAATTGTGGGGTACAATTCAGGGTCAGGTATACAAATATTCCTTATGCAGGTACGCTTGTTGATGAGGTGTGCCCCCCCCCCGCTTCACCAGGCAGGAGTTTTCGTTTTTAATGAAAATATTTACGTGGACATCATGGCATAATCATGACCATTTTGAAAGGTTCCCAATGTCCATCCTGAAATGTGTAGACTTGATGACGATGCTACCTCATGCTGACAATACAGCTTCTAGAAAAAAACCCTTTAAGAGACCCACCTCTGAGTACCTGCAGGCACCCCTAGGGTTCATTCTCAGAAGTTCAAGAATGGGCCCGGCACTCTGGCGTTTTGCCATCACTTAGAATTCCAGGGTATCAGGATCATCAGAGATCTTCGCACGTCCATTCCAACCCGTCATGTTATTTAAGCGTACATCAAAGTCCAAAAAGCGTCGGTCATGGGTCCAAGGTTGCCTGTCTGTTCAGCGTCAGGGTCACCAGACCAGAAGCCTCTCCCCTGGCTCGCTAGAGTCTGGGTGTGGTGGTGTGTCCTGCAAAGACTGTCGGAATATTCAGCCCCTGTTGTGCCTGTGTCTCTGCAGCCAGTGGTCCCCCTCCAGTGCCAGCCCGGGCCTCCCTGGCCCCCACCACTTCTCCTGCAAGTCCAGCTGTGACTTCAGCTGCAGATGCCTCCAGCCAGGACCAGCCCACAGTCACTAACAATCCAGAGCCACGTGGTTGAACTGTGTACTCCAGATCTCCCTGGATGAAAGAGAATCCTTTCAGCAACTGTTTTTAGAGGTTGGGGCCAGGGCATTATCCTGATAAACACCTTAAATGTCTTGTCAACTGGATGCGAATTTTGCACTTGGTGTCTTTTTCTTTTACTCACATTACAAGAAAGTACCCAGATCAGGCAGTGGTTATACCAAAGGTTATCAAACACATACAAAGGAACATCTTGGTCATAGGGCGTGTAGAGAGATTTACTGGATCATCACAGGTTTCTGTCCCTAGGGATGGTGTGTATGAGGAATCATAGTTGGCCTTGTGGCAAATCTGGATTTTTATACACTGAGATATATTTTAAGAATCATGAGGCCAGCACAATGGCTCATGCCTGTAATCCCATCATTCTGGGAGGCCGAGGCGGGAGGATAGCTTGAGCCAAGGAGTTTGAGATCAGCCTAGTAGTGAGACCTCATCTCTACAAAAATTTTTTTAAATGGCTGGGTGTGATGGTGCACACCTGTAGTCCCAGCTACTCGGGAGACTGAGGTGGAAGGATTGCCTGAGCCCAGAAGGCTAAGACTGGCGAACTGTGATTGTGCCACTGCGCTCCAGCCTGGGCAACAGAGTGAGACCCCCAACTCAAAAAAAATCATGATGCATTCTTCATTCCCATTTATTGAAATGCAGAAAATTGTGACTTCTCTACAAGTTAGACAATATTTTGGTACCTGTGTTCACCACAGCCCTGTTCCTCAGAGCCAAACTGACAGATTTCTCGTTGACTTCCAAGACCCAGCGGTTATCAGACCCCTAGAAACAAATTGCTTATGGCTGGAAATGCAGTGAAGGCAACGGCTTTGTAAATTGGTTTACATTTTTTTGTCCTTGAATTTTTCTCGGGTCCTAGTGCTTCTGAACCATTTACTGATATTGTTGGAAATCTTTTACATTTCTATTGCAATCCATGAAATAACATCTAGAAGATTCTTAGTATTTAAGTGTAGTCTTCTCCATGAATTACCCATTAGAGTAGACCGGCAGCAGCGGAATATGCAGAAAACAAGCCTGTAGCTCCTAGCTCCTAATCTCATCCCCACCCCTATGCCTGCCTGAGTCTGTACGGGAGTGTGTGTGTGTGTGTGTGTGTGTGTGTGTGTGTGTGTGTGTGTGTGTGTGTGTGTGTGTGTTTGTACTTGCGCCTGCGCCTGTGTGTGGAAGAGGAAGAGCAAGGTGTCTGTGTACTATATGCTGCTAGGGTGGTAAATAAATCAGTAATGAAATATTGTGGGTCCAAACTACTCTTTGCACTACTTTATTTACAGTAGTAAATAAAATTATTTTTATACAGTTGACTACTGGGGAGTGGCTTTTTCTTTTTCATAGTTGCTGTTGTCATCCTACAAAGTCCTAAAGTCCATGCCCTCTTGAGGAGGAAAAAAATTTTAAAAAATATAAAGACCTTCTGATGAGAGGGCTCATTTCTGGCTGCCCATTCATGTTTGCTTGCAGCCGTCAAGTTGACTGGGAACCCTGAACTCAGGGTCTGGCCCCCGGGTGTTTACACAATATCAGACGTTATTCCAGGGCTTCGTGCTGCTCTAGGGCTGGGTTTTCTATTAATTCCGGGTTAGGCCTTTGGTTCATTCTCCTTCTCAGATGTATGCTGCTCTTGTTTTAGCAAAAGTTGCTCTTCCTGTTTGCAAAAGAACCAGACTCTGGAGGCTGACAGACCTGGATTCCAATTCTGATTCTGTCACTTACTAGTTCAGTAGCCTTGGGCAAGTGGTTAACCCTCTGTGAGTCCTAGATTTCTGTGCTATAAAGTAGGTTGATAAAACCTACCTCTGGGGTGTCTCATGAGGCTTACGTAAGATATATTTAAGCCCGCAGGACAGTGCCCTGAACATGGTTGATTGCTATTTTTATGAGAAAGAGAAATCTGGGCTGGGCTCCGTGGCTCAGCCTGTAATCCCAGCACTTTGGGAGGCCGAGGCGAGAGGATTGCCTGAGCCTGCTTGTTCAAGACCTGCCCGGGCAACTTGGCAAGACCCTGTCCCCAAAATAAAAAATATAGGCTGGGCGTGGTGGTTCATGCCTATAATCCCAGCACTTTGGGAGGCTGAGGTGAGAGGATTGCCTGAGCCTGCGTATTTGAGACCAGCCTGGGCAACTTGGTGGGACCTCATCTCTACAGTAAATCAAAAAGTTAGCCAGGCATGGTGGTGCGTGCCTGTAGTTCTGGCTACTTGGAAGGCTGAGGTGGAAGGATCACCTGAAACCAGCAGGTCAAGGCTGCGGTGGCTGTGAGCATGCCACTGCATTCCTCCAGCCTGGGCAACAGAGTGAGACTCAAACACATTCTCTCTCTCTCTCTCTCTCTCTCTCTCTCTCTCTCTCTCTCTCTCTCTCTCTCTATATATATATATATATATATATATATTAGCCAGGCTTGGTAGCACGCGCCTATAGTTCTGGCTACTTGGAAGGCTGAGGTAGGAGGCTCGTTGGAGCCCAGCAGGTAGATGCTGGGGTGGCTGTGAGTGTGCCACTGCACTGCACTCCAGTCTGGGCAATAGAGAGAGTCTCCAACTCAAAAAGAAGAAAGAAATCTGGAGCTGAGTACAGTGACTCATGCCTGTAATCCCAGCACTTTGGGAGGCTGAGGTAGGAGGATTGCTTTAGCCCAGGAGTCCAAGACCAGCCTAGGCAACATAGTGAGACCTTGTCTCTGCAAAAATTAGCTGGGCACGGTAGCGTCTGCCTGTTGTCCCAGCCACTCAGGAGGCTGAGGCGGAAAGATCCCCTGAGCCCAGGAAGTTGAGGCTATGGTGAGCCGGGGTTGTGCCACTGCACTCCAGCCTGGGAGATAGAGTGAGACCCGTCTTGAAAAGAAATCCTAGATCCTCTCTGTGGCAAACACACCCAGTTTCCAGCTGCTGGGAACAGGATGCTGACAGCTCACAGCTGCATTTCTCTCTGGGGACTGCCCTTACCAACAGGGATCTGCCCAAGGTCATGCCCTTGCAAGAGTAGCACATGGCCAGTGACTCATTGATGTAGGCGGGATTTCTGGATCTCAGCACTACTGCTACTTGGGCTGGATGGTTCTTTGTTTGGGGAAAGGGGGGTGGGATGTATCCCTAGCCTCTAACTTCCTATCCTTACCTCCAGTGTGACAGCCAAAAATGTCTCCAGACTTTGCCAGATATGCCCTTGGGAGCATGATCTCACTGCAATCCAGCCTCTCACTTCACCCAATTCTACCTTCCTCAGGTTTTTACAGGATTTGCTAATATTGATTCCCATAAACCTTCACACTCAACTCGGAACCTCGATTTCCAGGAACCCAAATGAATCCATTTGCTAAGGCTGACATAACAGAGTACCACATACTGGGTGACTTAAACAATAGAAATTAATTTTCTCAAAGTTCTGGAGGCTGGAAGGTCAAGATCAAGATGTTGGCAGGGTTGGTTCCTCCCATGTTTTCCCTCCTCGGCTTACAGATGGACATCGTCTTTCAGTGTCTTCACATGGTCTTCTCTTGTGTGTAATCTCTTCTTTTTCTGCATTCTAATCTCTCTTTCTCTCTCTCTCTCTCTTTTTTTTTTTTTTTTTGTAGAGACTAGGTCTTACTGTGTGACCCAGGCTGTTCTCAAACTCCTGGACTCAAGCAATCCTCGTACCTTGGCCTCCCAAAGTGCTGGGATTACAGGCGTGAGCCACCCCTGGTCTCTCCTTATAAGGACACCAGTCATATTGAATTAGGGCCCACACATAAGGCCTCATTTTGCCTTAATTACCTCTTGAAAGGCCCTTTCTCCAAATATAGTCACACTCTGAGGTCCTTGGTGATAGAACTTCAACATACGAATTTGGGAGCTGGGAGAGGAGACCATTCAGCTCATGACACCAACTTAAGACACTGGAAGGCTGGTTCCAGAATAAGGACTCAAGTGTGGGAGCCATCCTGATCTGGGATGCTGTCTAAATGCTGCTCATCTCCAAAAGAGGTCAGGAAATGTTGGTGTAGTTCTGGGGTCAGGCCATTTCAGGTCAATTCATGTTCTATCTTAGACTTCTATTCTCTGGAGAGCTCTCAAGGCTGTATCACCCATGTCCAGTCCACACTTTTCAATCCTTGACCTTCCTCTTCTCTCCTTAAGTTCTAAACTCAGTGTCCACAAGGCTGGCATCCAAGCTGGCTTGAATAGAACCTTGCACAGTGAAGTCAACTTGGGACAAGAGGGAAGGAAAGCGGAAATGGGGTACAGAGATGATATTCAGTTACTTCCTTATTGTTTTCTCCACTTGGGACATTCTTAGACCACAGGGTGCAGACCAGTAGATTGTGAAACAAATGTAGACACAGATGTGACTTTTTTTGGCCCACTAAATATTTTCTTTTAAATTTCAGTCAGGACCAGGCGCGGTGGCTCACACCTATAATCCCAGCACTTTGGTAAGCCAAGGTGAGAGGATTGCCTGGGCCCGTGGGTTCAAGATCAGCCTGGGCAACTTGGCGAGACCTCATCTCTACAATAAATCAAAAAATTAGCCGGGCATGGTGGCGCGTGCCTATAGTTCCAGCCACTTGGAAGGCTGAGGCGGAAGAATCACCAGAGCCCAGCAAGTCGAGGCTGCAGTGGCTGGGAGCATGCCACTGCCCTTCAGCCTGGGTGACAGAATGAGACTCCAACTCAAAAAACAAAACAAAGACAAATTTCAGTCAGTTGCTAACATTGTGCAAGGATTTGGAACTTCTCCTAAAAACTCTAATGATGTGAAGAACTGAGCTTTCATTGCTGCATGGCAAGAATTAGCTGAGACTGAATAGGTCTGCTCCTGCTCCTTTTAGTTAGTACTTATACTTTCTGATTTGCCCCACTTCCCACCATTCCCTGTTGCCTTATCCCTAAATGACTTGAAGTCAAAGAAATTCAAATTTAAATTTAAAAAATCACTTCACGCCTCCCATATTATAAAAATTAAAAATGGAAATAATACTTTGAGGACGTGGGGAAACAAACTCATTCCTCATGGTCGCAGGGTCAACATGTGAGCCTTAGGATGTAGGGCACTTAGTGAGAGGTTCGTGCCTCAACAAGCCCACTCCAAGTGT